CGTACTCTCGTCTCTCGTTGAATAGGAGGATTCTAGCCGCGGCTCATAAGCCGCGCGCGCGAGACGTGCTGCCGTGCTTCTTATTGATCGATTTTTCGCATTCCTACGCCATTGAGCACAAGACCGGCATTGTTTGTTGTAAAGTGCGAGATACGCCGACGGGCCGTGAGATAGGGGAAGTCGTAACGGGTCGCGGATACTTCGTATAGCTGTTCGTGGGCTCTTGTTGCGAGATCGATCGCCGATACATCGGCAAGTATTTGCATCGCCAGAGTATTTGCCCAGCGAGGGCGATCCGCGAGATTCGCGATCGCGTCGCGGCTGATAAGCGCGGAATCTCTGTCGGAGTACTTAAAACGGCACAGGGCGGCGGAACGTCCGATGCGGAAGACAATTCATACAGAATCGCGGGACGTCGATTAAATCGAAAGTGTATCTCCGAGTACATCCGATCGCATCGCCGCGAACGCGTAACGAACGACCACGCGAACGACTCTGTCGTTGTGGAGAGACGTGCGGGCAAAAATCAGAATTCCAATCTGGCCGCGATCTCCTCTCTCTCTCTCTCTCTCTCTCTCTCTCTCGCTTCCTCTCGCAAACTCCCAGTGTACTGCGAAGAGTCCTCGGACGACGAACGTATGCGTTCCACCGCTTCGCATGTGCACCGACTCGGATGCACCACTTACGAGCGTGCATCGCGTGGAAAGCCGGGATAATGCGTTTTTCTGATTTCGCGCGAACACACATGCACATACGTCGTGTTCAACGGTGGTAGCGGCGGGCGGTCTGCTCCTCTCGCCCTTCTCTTTCGCGGCTGTATCGCGGTGCATCCCGAGCGCCACCTCTTTCCTCTTCTCCGCGGCGGCGGGTCGTAATGATTAATTAAGCTTTCCGAGAAAACGCAACAAGTGAAACGTTATTAGTGCTTAGTGGCACACTTTACTCGGATCAGTGGCGGTCGGGGTCTTTCCCCTCCGCTCACCCCTGTATATCTGTGTGTGTGTGTGTGTGTGTGTGTGTGTGTGTGTGTGTGTGTGTGTGTGTGTGTGTGCGCGCGCGCATGTGTGTGTATGTTCTGTGTTAGATCTTGTATGCACTTCCTGTTCGCGCGAAGTACCTTGTCGGCTTTTAATAAACTTGATCTCAACGAATTGAATGGCACAAGGAATTTCAGCTCGAGCGAGCCCGCGCGGTGTCTTCCGTTTCATTGACAAACGCGCGCATCGAGACGAGCGGAATGTCTCAACGAATGAATACGCGTATGCAACTAGCTTTTAATTCATTTTGCTGGCTTTGCATCGTATACACAGAGAAAATATCGTAATAAGTATCACAACAAAATTGTAAAAATCATCTCAAAATTGGATCATACAGGAATTATGACCGTAATTACTGCATATTTACTAATCTGCCATACTGGGTCTGATTTTTAAATTTTGAAGCACCCGCAAACTGGTGGAATGAGAACTTCCGGTTCTAAATAAAGTTATAATTGGTGGAAATATGAGATTTAAACACTGTTGAATCATTTAAATCGTCTATCATAACAAAAAGGCGAAGTATCTATGAAGTCATTTTTGACATACTTGCCAGTATGTCAAATTAAGATACATCAAAGTTAATACGAAGATGCAAAATAACAACGATTTTTCATTATATTTCGTTTTTTCTTTACATTAAATATAATATATAAAAAAAGTTTTATGCGAGTAGATTATTTATTTTTAGTAAACATTATACGTAAACAAGTTTTTAAACAAATCGAAATATTTTTTTCTAAAGTTTCAAATATTGACAAAAAGTCCTAGAGTATTAATTGTTTAAATACATTTTTAAAAAAGTTTGAAATTCTTATATAAATCACGTTTCTTTTTATATTTACAATATAATGAAATACATTCGAATGAATACTTGCGATCACTTCTGTATATATAATTCTATATTCTACATATTTGAAAGTATATTTATTATTTTTTACAAATTTTTTATTAATACTTTTGCGGAATGTAAATAAGCAAAGATGAACGACATTTGGTGCGTCAGATTAAGGTACCCGAAACATGTATGTGTTGTGTATGGGTTAAAAATGTTGTGCAACTTTTTGCTACCAAATTATTGCAACCAATTGAATATTTCTTATATATTCGGTTAAATTTACTATTTTCATAGTATAATAATTTATACTACGAGTACAATCCAGCTTTACAGTACAATCCAGCTTTAAATAACTTTGTAAAATGAAATGTAATCTTAGCGTAATTTTTATTATAATATTTTTTCCTCGTGTATTGAGCCGCGATAGACTTCCTCGATGCGATATTCGGACTCATATCGAGACTTTTCAATCGCGATCAGTACGGGGAACGACACGGCGCCTTCTTGAAGCGCATCAAAGCGTATCCTCATTTGCATTTCGCATCCGTTTAGTTCGCCGCGGTGTCTTTAAAGTTCGTCCGCTTTTGAGTAATTTCTGTGAAGAAATGATACGGCAGCTGCCATTTACGTGCATCAGAGCGCATCAGCCTGCAACGCGCGCTCCATCATCACCGTGGGCGGCTTTCTATTCGCTCCCGCGTGCGCTCCCTACTCAGCGGGCGTCGTTTAAGCTCACGCTTATGATTATGAATAATTAGCGTAGAGAGAGAGAGAGAGAGAAAGAGAAGCGACAAACAAAACACGCGCAAGAAAGCGTGCATCAGCTCGCTTCGCCGCGTTTATATACTTCCTGCGTCACCAGGCGACTCGGCGCCTCTTGCGCTCTCAAATCATCGAAACGCGTCCCGTAGTGAATATGATCAGACAGATCTAGCATTTCCTTCCCGGGATTCTATAGCATAATGTAGAATTTCACTCAAAAGGAGTCACTTCAAACGATAATGAAAATATTGCCACTTTGAATAGAGTGACATTTCACTTTTCATAACAGTGAATATATATGTATCAATATATTTTACTTTAGCAAAGAAAAATACAGCCAAGAAATAGGATTGCAATATATATATTTATAATATTACTTATTCACTCATTCCTCTATTCATTCTTAATTTCTACCTAATCAAAATTCAATCCGCGACATAGGATGAAAATTTTCATTCCCCGATGCGAAGTGAAGGAATTCATCCTATAAGAGAGCGAGAAGTTACTCGAGTGACTTGGTTGGTACTCCATTTTTCGAAATTTTCATTTCAAGAAATTTAGGGAATAATATAAGCGCATAATTAGTGTGGCGAATCAAATCGGCGCTCGACAGTTCGCGAGTACCTATGCAAACGTACGACGGCAAGAGAGCGAGGATTATGAGGAGAGAGACGCAATCGTTATCCTGCCGAGTAACGGATGCTGAGATTGCATGTCGAGCGATCTCGAGCATATATGCGGCGCGTCGGAGGGAGAGAGAGAGAGAGAGAGAGAGAGAGAGAGAGAGAGAGAGAGAGAGAGAG